CCTGTAGAAATTGCTGATTCCTGGTACAGAGAGGTAGGTCCTCCTTTGGAGGGTGAATAGAGAAAATCAAGGAAATAAAAACACGTTGGACTCTTTTTAGTAGTGAAAATGAAAAGTGGCAAAGTAATGGCAAACAGGGGAGCTTTGGGAACCAAAGGGTACTGGTCTTGCTTAAAGGTGCTCAAATTCAATTTCTTTAAGAGTGCCTTGCTGGCCAAAACCAAGCAGGCCTGCAGGCCCACAGTCAGGCTGCAGAGCTTGGAACTACATGTAGCTTCGACGTCTGGTCGTTCAGGTTTCTCGTTCCACTGCTGAAGAGAGGACGCCCCTCTCTCCTGATAGCTTCAGTCTTTGAAGACCCTGCTACCAGACAAGCGCACCTTCCCTCCTCTCCTCAGGCTTCCTACTAGGACCCTCCAGTGTGGGCAAGAGCTTATTCAGCTGCAGCTAAGCAGCTACTGAGGCCTAGCAGGCTCTGTGCCCATGGGGAACAGGATGTCATTTGGCACTTTTGGGTCAGGGCAGGGTTTCTCAGGAACATGCCTCTGTAGAAACACAGGTCCCATTAAGTGACCAGAGAGGTCCCCATGGATGGAAAAAAGAGGCAGTCAGAGACAGGACACGTCCCAAACTCCTGACAGTAACTGGGGAAAGGGAAGCACGGGAATAACATCATGAAAGAGGGCTAGACATACAAAATCATGGAAAGACTGGGTGTAGCAACCCCATGAAACCTATTGGCAGGAGCCCAGGCACAGGGATGCCAGCTTTGCTGCTTGCACAGCTGCTCTTGCTTCTGCACAGGCCTCAGGAGCCTGCACTGGGCCTTAGGTTGACGTAGAGAGCAGGCTCTTTAGAGATGTCAATATTAAGATGACAAAGGACTATAGAAGTAGATGAAAAATTATAGTAAAGTGACCTGAGGGAAATTGTACTTCCTTATGTTCTTAAAATATCCAAAGATAAAAAGATAATGTGATGGAACATAATAAAATTAATAAGTTATAAAGAGTAATCCTATTTATTATATAATTAATAAAATTGGCTGCCTCCGGTACATAAAAAAATCATGTAAGTCAAAGCAACATTAACAATTGGAATAAATTGCATGTATTTTAGTGGAGCCAATACAGATTCATCTGGTTCCAAAGTTTATGCTTTTAACCACTGCTGAACAATAACGACGGACTTCTGCCATAGTCCAGAAGGTGACACATTAACCTTCATGGCCCTAACAAATGTTTGATAAATGGATGAATAAGTGGGTGAATACTTGAGAGTAGAAGGAATCTCTCATTACCAGGAAGGTCAAAATCAAGGTTTCCACATGACCTCATATAGATTTGTCCCTTGCCTATTCCAGACATTTTGCATCAGAACTACAGATAGTATCACTGCAGAGTTTAACCTATTTTCTAATTCGAAAAGAGCCTGTAGATCTAGAACAAAAGATGAAGCACATTTGTAGGAAACAGAAGTTATGTGGATTAATTAAATTTTGTTTTACAATGAATTCCTACAGACAGGGTATCTCTTCAATTTTTGATAAAGGAGCAAATAAGAAGTGATAATGAGTGGTAGTTCATAATAAGACAAATGTCATGGGAATGAAAAAAAATTCTTTGCAAAATGTTATCTAGATGGCAATTTGACAAGTGATTATATTTAACCAGAAGCTTTCAAAATTAATAGCAGGTCTACAAATTTCACCCTTGTAAATGAAGGATTCTTTCAGAATATTTATTTATGCCCTGTTCATATTAAGAAAATAAAATAAAATTTGCATTTGAAGAATTTAGCTAGATGATTTTAATAGTCAAATAAAATATTTTCATTAAATCTGAAAATGTCATTCTGGTATTTAGTTGGAAATGAGGGCTATATGCATATGTTTAGAGAATATAAAAGGGAAATAAACAAAATTAATTCTGGACCAGTGGTTTAAATGAAGAAGACAGTGGATTGTAAATAACATTATTGAGAACTGGCAAACACACCAGAGCAATTATCAAATCAATGTGAATTATCAAACCAATGTAAATTATTTTGTTTCTGTTTACTAACTGCCTGTGATAAATCCAATACTTTCTCAAACATCCTACAATTATTTCTCATATCAGTCATCTGAAGGAAGGTGTATTTTCATCTTATACAGGTAAAAAGTAAGGGAGAGAAGGCAGTTGAATTCACATCTTCCAAGTCTGCAACCTATAATGATTTCATGGCACACACTGCCTTTTCTAAAGGATAGAATTTTGGAAAAGAAGACATTATTAATGACAAAAAAAATTACTTGTAACAGCTTTATTTTGAGATATATATGGCATAGTTCAATGTTACTAGTTCTAATTTAACGAAACTCTAATTCAGATTTAGCACAGTGTCAGAAACATGGAAAACATGAGTGAATACATATCATAAATGGAAGCAACTTACAACTCTATCTAGTGAATTGCATTCTAAACATGTTTATCTAGTGCCGTGTCAGAGGTTCTGCAACAAAGGGAAACAACATTGTCAGGCATGTCCACGGTCTACCCTTGCTGCCCTGTTTTTCCCCCTCAAGCATTTTCTTCTGTTCATCATACTCTTCAGTGCTAGTTGCTATCTCCACTTCTAAGGCTCTCCACCAGCCTGATGACTTCAGTGCCTCTGTGGAAAGTCCCCTATTGGTTCCTTTACCTCTTCTTTCCCCGGAATCACCTTCCTTATTTTTCCTCATCTCCGGGAATCACCTTCCTATTTTACTTTATCTCCCTAAGCCACCCCCCTTATTTTAACCTGATGATCTGGTTAAACAGATCTTATAATATTTCACAAGTGTTCTCACTTTCCATGTAAGCATCGCACTTTCTGACCATAACATAAACTCATCCTCTTATACTTTACTCGTTTACTTGGTGTTCGAACAGCATTTGGTCCTGACCTGTCTTCCACTTCCGATGTTCTTTATAAAATAAAAAATATATATTGTTTCAGAGAGGAAGGGAGAGGGAGAGATAGAAGCATCAGTGATGAGAGAGAATCATTGATCGGCTGCCTCCTGACACCCCACATTGGGGATTGAGCCCGCCATACAGGTATGTGCCCTGACCAGGAATCGAACCATGACCTCCTGGTTCATAGGTAGATGCTCAACCACTAAGCCATGCCAGCCAGGCTCACATTTTGACTTTTTAGTACAGAATGCAAAGTATCAAAATTACTGCTTTGGTACTTGAAGGACAGCAGTAACAATGTTATTCAGACCAGTCTTTCTTCTGGATAATTGGCATGATGGCTCAGCCAGTATTGGCTATCAGTATGCATAAAATGGTATAAACCAAGTAATGCCCTTTAAATTAATGTTTTTTCACTCTACACAAATATCTTTCCTGCCAGAATATTTTGAATGCTTCATTATTTTTTTTAAAAATCCAATCCAGCTCTAACCGGTTTGGCACAGTGGATAGAGCGTCAGCCTGCGGACTGAAAGGTCCCAGGTTCGATGCCGGTCAAGGGCATGTACCTTGGTTGTGGGCACATACCCAGTAGGGAGTGTGCAGGAGGCAGCTGATCGATGTTTCTCTCTCATTGATGTTTCTAACTCTCTAACCCTCTCCCTTCCTCTCTGTAAAAAATCAATAAAATATATTTTTTAAAAAAATCTAATCCAATCAAGAAGCAAAGAAATTAAATTTGTATCATTCCATTTCCTTAATTGACAAAGACTTTTCAAGTAAATATCTAAAGAGCAGCCCTTTAACTATTCTCAAGAAATTCATATTGATATCCCAGTTATTAGACTGGCTTAATTTCTGAAAGTATACTTGCAATAACCTATCCAAAGATTTTATTTTAGTACAGTGAAAATAATAGGTGTTTAAAAAGATGAATTGTGATTAACATATGAGAAAATCAAATTCCTTGCATAGTATATTTTGAAGAACTACCATTAAAAATAATATCATAGTGACTTAAATAGACATATTGATATTTTTAGAGCCATGCTTTGCTGGAATATTTTATGCTTTGTTTTTCAATGAGGTCAGGTCTTTGGCTGAGAGCTGAAAAGCTGATGCATTACACAATATCATGTGCCTATATTACTGTAGGATAACAGTAGTTTAATCTGTCTGCCTGCAAACTCTTATATGAAATGAAGTGGATCATTAATTAAGGTGTTCAGTACTCTTTCACACCCAGAACACTGATGGTTAAGAGTCCTCTATCTTCCTTTCCCTTTCCTGTTCTTTCCCGATGAAAGCCAATAAATGAAGATTGTTCTCCAGGTGCCAGAGGCCTGCTCAGCCCCCCTAAGAACTCAAGAAAATTCAGCCAGCACATTCAAGTATAAAATGAAAGATTTTAGTACACCGCCATTCACACCACCATTAACTAACTCCCTACTTGTTCAGTTCCTAGTTCCTGACTGTTATAAGTCAAGGCTCTCTGATATATTCTTCCCCACCCACCCACCACCGACCCACCCTGCCTTGCTTCTTTTCATAGAAAGGTCTTAAGATTCTTTCTTTCTTTCATATCAGCACCTACTCATCTGATTCTTTCTAAAGACTGCAATATATACCATTGCATGGATATGCCATATTAGTATAAAAAGTCCCCTAATATTGAGCTTATTTGCTATTATAAATAAAAACCTTAGGAATATCCTGGGAGATATACATTGATATACTTTCACAAGTATATTTGTAGGGTAAATGTCTGGCAGTAGAATCGCTGAGCCAAATACATGTCTATTTAAAATTCTCATAAACTTTTAAATTGCTCTTCCAAAAATGGCATCAATTTGCACTTCTACCAACACCTTTGTGAATACTTGGTATTATCAGACACTTAACCTTGACCAACCTGATAGAAGAGAAATGATATCTCGCTGTTCTTTTACTTTACAGTTCTTTAATTTTGATAATGTTGAGTGCTTTGTTTTAATTTGGTGGTTGGTTATTCCTATTTATTTTATTATGAACTATGAGTTCTATATTTTGCTCATTATCTTTTAAAATGTGGACCATTTTGCACATTTGCCTGCCATTTTGCACATAGGCATTGCTAATCCTCTCTGAATCATTCCAATTGGCTATATATATATATATATATATATATATATATATATATATATATTTCTTATGTGAGGGTCATAGGATTTCTTTAACTGTGACCAGTTACTTTAAGTAATAAAGGAGAAAATGAGAGGAAAGAAAGGGAGAGAGGAGGAGAGGAAAAAAAGGGTGGGGAGTGAGTAGAGGTGGGGAAGAGGGCTACTGTCTAAGATGCTCTACTACTCCCTGTTTTGACTACCAATCCCTAGTCAAATACAGGAGTTAAGAACATGATTTCTGGAATGAGACTGCTTGGATTTGATTCACAACTCCGCCACTTAATAACCATGCAAATGTAGGAAGCCTATTTAAATGACCTAAGCCTCAGTGTCCTCATTTGGAAATTGGAAGTGGTAATAGTATATGCATCCTAAAAGTTACTGTGAGGACTTAGTAAAATAGCCCAACAAAGCTGACAAACACCAAACGTGGCACGCCTACACCTGCAGCGACTGCCAGTCCTCCCTGTGACTGAGCAAGCGCTGCCCAGGTCAGACCGGGCGGAACTAGGGCGCCCTCTCCTTCCTGGCTCATTCTCCATGCGCCTCTTGACTTGGGGACTCGGCTTTTTATTTATGTTTTGCATTTCTGTGGAGGTAATTTAAACAGTTAGTATGCATCTCCCATGGGAACAAATGTGATGGTATAATGAACGACTTAAACTGTATTCAAGAGACAATCTGCTTTACTCAGTCAGGAGAGGTAAAAAACATTGTGGGAAGCATAGGATTTTATATCTTTCGTTTATTCAGTTCCTCTGTTCACTAATAAACATTGTGCAAGAAAAAGAAGACAGATTCAATATTCACTTACGTTTGCAGTTTGATACAAAGTATCAAAGTAGCAACAAAATAACTTACCTAAAGCTTATTTCAAGGCAATTTGTAAAATAGGATTTTCTCTATTTAAAAATATGACAGTTTAACAGGAATGCGCAAGAAGATGTTTTTCCATTCCTTTGAATTGTATTGGTTTCAAACAAATACTAATAAGTGATGTTTACTGAAATTGGGAGATTCTGCTTAATAATCCTATCTAGTTGAGATTTTAAAAAGCTAATCCAATGTTCCATTTTGGTAATACATTTTTAAATGTCACATTAATGGGAGTGATATCAAAAGGACATCATTACAGATGGAGTAAAAGACTGATTTTTTTTTAAGTTTTTCTCTATATGAAATCATTACATTGAGTCAGATACCAAGAAGAAAACATAATTGTTGAACATGTTGAAGTATCAAATGGTCATATGAACACATATTTTATATTATGCTCTGAAATAAATATATTTATGGTTAGATGCCAATAAAGTAAATGAATTAAATCAATTGTCTTACTTTTTATAAACTTTGTATTACAATAACCTGAAATTGTATGTCCAGATATAAACTCAGAGAGGATTAAAGTTGTTTTACCCTTTCTTTTTGTTTTGCTTTCTGTTCACAGAAAATGATGACGATTTAAATAGCTTGCAAACCAGATTAGAAAAAGCCGATGTTAGAAATGGAGAGCTCCGGAGAGCTCTGAATGACACTTTGGCAAAGTTATCAGCAATCCCAAATGGTAAGCTTTTGGGACACTACAAATTGACGCAATTGTTCTGAACTTTTAAAAATATTCTATCTTTTACCACTTTTCCCAATGTTACACCTCTGTTATAATACCCTCCAGGGCCCTCTATGCTGTCTCAAAGGGTAAGAACTCCTTTTTTATAGCTGCATAGTATTCCTTGGTGTAAATGTACCACAGTTTTTTATCCACTCATCTACTGGTGGGCACTTAGGCTGTTTCCAAATCTTAGCTATGGTAAATAATGCTCCTATGAATATAGGGGTGCATATATTCTTTTTGATTGGTGTTTCAGGATTCTTAGGATATATTCCTAGAAGTGAGATCACTGGGCTAGATGGCAGTTCCTTTTTCAATTTTTTGAGGAAACTCCACACTGTTTTCCACTGTAGCTGTATCAGTCTGCATTCCCACCAGCATTATTAACCGCACTTTACAGATGACAAGCTGAGACACAGGATACTGATGGTTGCTGTTAAAAGTGACATACATGAGATTTGAACCCCACAGTTTAACTTCAGAGTTTGTGGTCTTAACAACTAATACTAGTAAACATACACTAGTAAGCATCTATGTCTACAGTATATTGTTTGTGCAAATAGGATCAAGAAAACAAACGCATGTATTTATACAGTGCAGAAAATACTAAAATCTTAATTATTTTTACTTTTTTAACATGAAAAAATCTGAAGTAACACTCTAGATTTTCATATCACCCCTTTGGTAGTAAGGAGGAACATAGAAAATTTCTATGGATCAAAACAAATCTAAAAAACATGAACACATAGTCTAATATACCTGAAAAAGTATGTTAGCCATCTCTACACCTAAACAAAAATACATTGATTCCCCCCTTCCCCGTGAATGTGCAGATTAAATTTTAAGCCTACTTTTTATGAAGCTTTAAGACAGGTGGATAAGTTTTTTTCTCTTTAATATGTTTAACAGCAAACCACAATATACCCTTCTACAATGAACGTTTAGAATAAGCACTTTGCTCTCCTCAGAGCTAATCACGTATTCATAGCAAAGGTCCCTGAGAAAATTTCATTGAGCTAAAATTTTACTTTGCTACAGCTGAATGAGACAGAAGTCAGCCTTCCTCTTCGTGGGTGCGTTCCCGAGGTCAGTCAGCTGCGGCCTCACTTTGACAAACATGGACTAAGCCACTAACTCCAGACCCTCTGTTTTGTTTCTCAACTGCTCTTCTGCTGACAGACACAGCTGCTAAGCTGCAAGCCGCTAAGAACAAAGCGAGACAAGCCAACGACACGGCCAAAGATGTGCTGGCCCAGGTTAAAGATCTCCACCAGGACCTGGATGGCCTGAAAAAAAGTTACAATCAACTAGCAGACAGCGTAGCCAAAACAAATGCTGTGGTAAAGGATCCTTTGAAAAACAGTAAGATCCCCTTTTTCATTTTGATTATGTCATTTATTGATTCACACTAAAAGAGTACCAGCGTAGACCGTTAGAGCTGGAGGAGACCCTCATGGTGATGTAGTCTGGCTTCCTCTCTCCAAAGACTAGGCTCAGGAACTGAGTGTTCTGCAGCTCAGAACTAGAATCCAAGCCTCCCCGCTTCACATCAGGGCTTCTTCCCTCCGAAGTGTGTCCAATCGAAAGGAAATTAGGAAATCCCAAAGTCTGCATGATATTTGGCATAGGGATGCCAAGTACTTTTTAATCCTTCACTGTAATTAAAAACGTATTTGTACTTGGGAAACTAATATCCTCAAAGCTGGTGAGGTCCCATGGAACACAGAGGTCAAGGAGCATTCTAGTAGGAATGTGACATTAAAATGGCATCAACCTGAAATACTTTAACACTCAAAAATACTGATGTTTAATTATTTAGATTTTTCAGTTATTTAACATTTTCAGTAAATTAAAGCACTTATCTAGTTTACAAGAATATGTCTTTACATCTTTTGTATATTGCATCAAATTATATTTAGTTAATAAGGATTTACTGAGAAATGTGGAGGAACTTAATATAATGGTAATTTAACTGATTAAGTGTAATCAATAAACATTAGGAGATATATATATATATTTTTCCCATTCTTTAAAGTGATAAAACATCATCATCATATGTGACACTTGATTTTTTGGACTTGTTACTCTCAAGAGAGTAGCCCTCTTTATATAAGAACATTTTCATTGGGTATCAAAATATTTGTAGAGTACAATTACAAAAACCCTGTTATGGACATCATATGCTATGTAAGCCAGAGCCTGCTTTTTCACACCACAGCCTTGAGTCAAATGCTAATGATGCTGTGAAATAGTAGGTACTACAAGCATGACTCCTTCATGAGCAAAGAAGGGTGCAAACATATAACATGAACTTCAGAGTTAGGGAGAAGGATTTATTCCTCGCCATTTCTTCAAGAAAAGAAATAGATGAGATGCACTGGTTTTGTTCATGTATTCATATGTAAGCCCAGATAGAGCTTCTCCCTGGTCTTCAAGTCTCCATCTGAATTAATAGTTCAGATGCATTCCAAGTCACATTAAAAAAAAAAGAATGAACTTAAGTTTTAAAGTAAATATGATTCTCTCTTTTACTTATTTCATAATTTAAGATATCATTTCATTCAATTTTAGATTGATTCTCAGATGATAGCAGCCTTTTCATAATATTTATCTCTAATTTTTTTATCCTATCTTCTATCGAGAAGTTATCTGTAATATTAATTCAAATGGGCCTGTTTTCTTTTAGAACATTATAATAAAATTTATTTTAACATGAATAGTGGCCTCTAAATGACATGTTTTTGTGTACTTTTACTTGATAACACTAATTTGACTTTAAATGGGATGCATTTGTAATTAGTACCTGTTGTGAAAAGTATCATTTTGTGATAGCTATTAGTTTATAATATGGATAAAAAATATTTCCTTGTGAATTTCCTAATTCTTTTTGTTTTACTTCCATATGAAATCACCTGCAGAAATCAGTATGTATATGTTTACTTATATACCATTTAATAACTTTTATGCTTAATTGCCTATTGCAAAAAACTTCAGCTTTGCATGTTACCATGTTTAGGTGTTGCTTTAAACATTGGATAGCTGTTCTTTCCAGTGTCACAGTATTAATGTGAGATATCTAAAAGGAATCTTTCCAAAAAGTCAGTATGTGAATGTATTTGATGTACTTCTAGAGAAGTATATTTAGAGAAGCACATAATAAAATAAAATGAAATCTTAACAACTAAGCAACTATAAGAATATAAAAATATTCTCCTTAAACATCCCATGGTTTAAATTCAAAACCAAAAATAAAACTGCAGAATAGAAAATAATAATAATAAAATCCAACATATCAAAACTTGAGAAGGCTCTCCTCAGTGGAAAATGAGTACAATTTACTAAAAGAGCACTGAAATGAACAATTTAGACAATTCTATAAGTAAAACAAAATA